GTGTGTGTTGTTGGTTGGTTGGTGGGTTTAAAAAGTAAGAATAAAGGAATGGGGTTATAGTTTTTTTGTTGTTTGAATAAAGAATAAGGAGTGATATTTATAGGTTAGTTGTTTTGTGTGTTGTGTTTGGTGGTTGGTGATGAATGTTTGAGTAAGAATTAGAAATGGGTTTATAGTTTTTTTTTCTTTGTTTTTGGTGATGTTTGAGTAAGAATAAGGAATGAATTTATAGTTTTGTTTGTGTTGTTTGAATAAGAATAAGGAATGGATTTATAGGTTAGGAATGACTTTATAGGTTAGTTCTTTTGTGCGTTGTTTGAGTAAGAATAAGGAATGAAGTGATAGGATATTTTTTGTTTTGTTTTTTTTTGTTTGAATAAGAATAAGGAATGAATTTATATTTTTTGTGTTGTTTGAATAAGAATAAGAAATGGATTTATAGATTATTTTTTGTGTATGTTGTTTGGTGTTGATGTTTGTTTGTTTTTTTGGGTTGATTGTTTGGTTGTTTTTTGTTTGAATTTTGTTGATGTGTGGATTGATGGATGATCGTGATGGTTATTTTAAATCGTTAGGAAATTGTGATGATGATAGATTAAGATGATGGAGATGTTGCTCTTAATCTTAATAATGAAGCTGCTTTTTTATGATTATTGCTATTATTGATAGTATTTTTTTAGATCCGCCCAATCTTCATTCAGCAGTCTGCTATCTAAGTATTTGACAAATCCTCTTTGATATCTGTTAATATATATAACAATATCGATTGCGAAGGATGTTGCACGTCTCACCCAACCAGTTATTTTTTTTTCATTTTTATTATTATTATTATTATTTTCATTTATTATTATTTATTTTTTTTTTTTTTTTTTTTTTTTTTTTTTTTTTTTTTTTTTGTGGCCTTTGGGTTTCAAAAAGTCGGCGTGGCCTTGCGCGTTGCGTGCGGAGCGTACATGTGCCCCTTATGCAGCTCCCGAAGGCCAGACGGGGAGATTTCACCCAAACTTGAAGTAGTGATCTGAGAAGCTTTTTTTTTTTTTTTTTTTTTTTTTTTTTTTTTTTTTTGAACTCGAAGTATCGCATTTTGCTGGATGGATTTTGATACCTTTTAGAATTAGTGATCTGAGAACCATTTTTTTTTTTTTTTTTTTTTTTTTTACTCGAAGTATTGCATTTTGCTGGATGGATTTTGATACTGTTTTATATATTATTGTTTTTAATTTTCAGGTCTTAAGGTCCTTGATGTTATCAGTAAGCTCAGGTAAGTGTCTCCCTCTCCCTGTCTGTTATTTTGAAATAAAAGACATAAAGAACATAGACATAGCCTCATAACAAGCAGTGTTAGTGTTACTGTCACCAAAGAGAATCTTCAACAAGACAATTTAGAATAAATATATAAAGAACATAAATATATAATATAAATATAAATATATAACATAAATATAAATAAATATATAAAGAACATAAATAAAATATAAAGAACATGGACATAGTTTTACAACAAGCAGTGTTAGTGTTACTGTCACCAAAGAGAATCTTCACCAAGACAATTTAGAATGAAAATACACACATCAATACGAGAGAGAGTATACAGACCACACTTGCCCCGCCTCAAAACACAGAAGTCCCATTTCATTCCACCATTATCATTACTAAATAAATACAAAAAATGTCTACCTAACTCCACGAGATAAAGTTTAAAGATCTCTCATACGAGATATAAGTTTAAAAAGATCTCTTATTCGAGATAAAGTTTAAAAGATCTCTTACACGAGATAAGTTAAAAAGATCTCATACGAGATAAAGTTTAAAAAAGATCTTACACGAGATAAAGTTTAAAAAAGATCTCTTACACGAGATAAAGTTTAAAAGATCTCTTACACGAGATAAAGTTTAAAAAGATCTCTTACACGAGATAAAGTTTTAAAAAGATCTCTTACACGAGATAAGTTTTTAAAAGATCTCTCATACGAGATAAAGTTTAAAAAGATCTCTTTAAAGTTTTAAAAAGATCTCTTACACGAGATAAAGTTTAAAAATCTCTCTCATACGTATTCGTCTCTTCCCCCCCCCCCTCCAGACAAGATGCGGTCAACGATTCGGATCTGGCGGTGCAGCTGGACGTCTTCGATGAGCAGAGGGACACGGACGAGGCCCAGATCTCCGGACCCGACGGCGTGGACCTCAGCTCCCACGTGGACGTCTTCTACGCCATCCTCAGACAGGTCGGTAGGGGGTTCTGGAGGAGGAGGTGGAGGCCCTTGTTCGGTCTTGGGGGGTTGGAGGCGGATGTGTGGATGAGGTGTGTGCGTATGTGTGAGGTGGAGTGGGGGTGAGGTGGGTTGTGTGTGGGTGTTGAGGTGTGGATGAGTGTGTGTGTGTGTGTGTGTGTGTGTGTGTGTTTCTTCTGACTGTTTGAGAAACGTTTGTGATGTGGATTTGTATTTGCTGTTGTGTAAGAAACGTTTGTGATGTATCTCTGTGTTTGTGTGTACGTTTGTATGTGGATTTTTATTTTTGTGTGTAGGAAACGTCTGTGATGTACTGTGTTTGTGTGTAAAAAAAAAACGTTTTGTAATGTGGATTTTATGCATCGCTTGTGTGAGGGTAACGTAGTTAGGAGCACGTTTGTCATTTGTGATAAAAAAGATTTTATGTTAATATGGGGTTCGGAAACGTTTGTTATGAGGAAACTATATTTAGTGTTTGATGATGATTCTGATAATTTTTTGTGAGCAGTATAAAGGAAGTGTTATGAAATCAGTCTTAATAAAGTTGCCTTTAACTTTAAACATCTTGTGATTTGAGAAATATACATCGACTCAAAACTTTGATCCAATAGAATAACATTATAGTCGCCGGCGAATAGGTAAAAAAAATCGATTTATAAGAGTTACTGGTGCGTGAGGGCCACTTTGGTGAGGCGTAGGAGAGTAAAGCGTAATAATTCTTCCTCGAAGACATAAAAAATATAACCTGTAGTAGCATGCTCTCAGTGGGCCACCCACACTGTATGTTGGAGGAGGGGGGGGAGGGCGAAGAAGGAAGGGGGAAGCGGATGGGAGTGAGTGTTGGAAGAGGGAGGGAGAGGGAGGAGAGAGAGAGAGAGAGAGAGAGAGAGAGAGAGAAGAGAGAGAGAGAGAGAGAGAGAGAGAGAGAGAGAGAGAGAGAGAGAGAGAGAGAGAGAGAGAGAGAGAGAGAGAGAGAGAGAGAGAGAGAGAGAGTGAGATGAGTGAGTGAGTGAGTGTTTGTCTGTCTGTCAAGTGCGCGTGTCTGTACACATACAAATACATTGTGTTGGTGCATTTGTCTTATCTTCCTGGCGCGCCGTTTTCCAAGACGACGCCCTGACGTCGGGAAGACG